TGTGTGTGTGTGTGTGTGCGCGCGTGTGCATGGTAAGAGGTAAAGCTATCCCTCTAACAGGCCGTGACGGCCCATGAGATTGTGAGACTTTGAGGTTCCCACATTTTCTAGACAATCTGCCCACAGATGGTGTTAAGGTTGTCAGCCCTATGCAGCGGCTGCCCTTTACCCCCCAGGAAGATTCCTGGTACTCATTTCTGTTAGAGTCTGAGTCAAACCCAGGGTCATAGTGCAGCTGGAAGGATTAGGTAAAGTTTTCCATGTAATTAAGCATTAAGCCATGAAGGCATATGGGGGAGTGGATGTATAGATCCACATTTTCTTCACCTTGGCACTAGCTGGAGGTGAGTGGTCAGCTTCACACCCCAGCCACTTTACCCCCCATGGGAAAGAGCTCCAGTACCCATTGGATAGGAGGTTGGGTGAACCCCAGAGCCAGTCGAGAAAATTCTTGACCCTAATGGGACTCGAACTCCAACCCCTTGGTCGTCCAGTCCATAGCTATTTGCTATACCAACTATAATATTCCAGCTCCCTTGGGAAATGTTGGTAAATTGAAAAAATCCAGTGACCTCATCAGGAATCAAACCCATGACCTTCCAGCTTGTAGCATAGTGCCTCAACCAACTATGCTACCACTTGCCCCCATGTGTACATGGAGCTGCCATTAAACGCATCCTTTTCCTATGAAGTCTCAAATACCAGTCCTGTGAAGTTGCTAGCAGCAACACAGCATCTGTTTACAGTCAACTCTGACCTGACTGCTTCACCTATTTTATTTATGAGAACATAAGTGTCAAGTCAGAATCTTCTTTAGCCCCAAAACTGGCCAGCTATTACACTTCAAATGACATAATTGCGCCCCACTCGGGAAGCAGTGTATGTTTTTCAAAATCAGAAAGCCAACCTAACATCGTAGTTACAGTAGAGGACGGCTGAACATTATGGAGAAGATATCTCTTGCTCCTTGGTCTTCCAGGCCACAGCCAAGTCATTATCTCAAATGTGCTGTTCCAGCTGCCTTGCTAAGAATGTACTTGGGTTACTTCCGAGTTTATTTAGAGCTGTGCCAATGACATGTTAAATGACAATGGTTTGGAAGAAGGGTAGGATGAATATTTTGAATTAGAAAGGTATCCTGGCTGAGGTTTTTTGTAGCCTTCCTTAGGCCCTGTGGATGCTGTATTTTCCAGTGTGTGACATTTTTTCTCTGAAAAAATGGTCCTACAAATTGCAATGCACTGGTGTAGTTCAGAAATAAAATATTTCTGGATCTTTCTAAACCATTATATGCCACTATAAAATACAGTAAATGCCAAAATAGTACCTCAAATTAGGGCATGACAGCTCCATTTTATATCCTTTCCAGTTCATTAGTCATTATGCCACAAAAACAAGTCTCATAGACAGTGTGAATGAAAGTTGTATTCCCCTCCAGCCCTCCACAGCTGAAGTCAAACCAGCCCAAAGTGTTTATCAGTAGTAAAAATCATCACTGCCAACATTCCTGTGAACACAATGGCCAGAGGACTGGAGGAGAATTAGGAATGTATGCTGGAGGGGCATAACAGCATGAATGTGATGTAGAGGCAGTAGATCCACAGGACTTATTTCTACAGCCTTAATATAATTATCATCATTCTTCACTATATAATCTGGGCCACTGAAATAATTAGACCACCTGCTCATGATGATGTCTGGGAGTATGGGTTACTGGTCTGAATTTGAAGAAAATTTTGTTTCCAACAGTTCCCACATGAAATGAGCAGATGGAAGTTTGGTTCTGGGTGAGAAGCTTGATTTGTTGGGCAACTTGTGCTAGTAACCTTGTCTGTGACTTAAACTTCGTGGATATCATTTTATGGCTGAATTGCAGCACAGTGAATTAAATAGACAAGCAAAAAATTGCCAGGCAATATTTGAACTGAGTTTTCATTACACTTAAAATTCTTATTGTGGTTTTTGCACAGTATGTTCCTTCAAAACGTTCATACCCATTTGCCTGACCAGAACAAATTATAACTTTCCTTTTAATAACATACGAAATTGGCTGCTTTGACAAAATCGGGGAAGCACTTCTGATATCAGCATTGTTTTTATGTTAACCATAACCTTGTTGAGTAATGTAACCGAAGAATGTACGAATTCCTCCTGTTTACGTATAAGAGCAATTTCATTACATGAAATTACGTCTTTAGTCATTACAAAATTAACGCGTAACTTACCAGAGTCATCCATGCTGGAAGTTTCCTTTGTGAAGGCTTATCATGTACAGCCATTATAATTCTGCTTCCAAACGATACACAACACAGGTTAGTAACGTACAGTTACTGTTCATGGGGACAATCGAATAGAAGCTATCGATTATTTGATAGTTGCAAATTATGGAATAATTGAAATATTTGCAAAGTAATGCAGTGAAGTTATCGGCTTTGCACTTTGCCGTGGTAACCCCAATTAAACTACTGGCTTCATCCGGTTTTAGGTAGTACGAGTATGTAGTTTATTTAGTCGGAAGATAGTGTAAGAATACAGAGGATCCTTTAGCAATATACTGGATCGTCTCGACCCGGAGACTGGCCTGCGGACGTGGTTACGCTGGCCGTCTAGCCAAATTCCGTTAATTCGGCCACGACCATGGGCTCCCGCAAGTGGTTGTCCCCGAGCAGGGCAAGGAGAGGAGCAATAGGATAATTTGCTTACAAACTTTCCTGGAAGTCATTTAAGAATATTTTTCCGGATCGCCTTAGACTATTCAAGATAGAACAGTATTTAAAAAAAAAAAACTTAATTTTTTGCGTTAATATTGGTGTGTTTCCTCTTTCATGTCTTCAGAAATCTAGGACGTTAGATTGATGCTTGGCGTGCCCCTCTCCTGACCTCTTGGACCACAATCGTATCTTTCCGCAGCCTTTCGGATTCACTGATGACCCTATCATTCGACGCTGTAGGGTCTGAACTACTAAAATCGCCATGAAGCAAATAAATAAATGAAAACTTGGATTCTCTCGGTTCTATGTCAGCTACACCGAGGCCATGGAAAGAAGTCACATGGTTTCTAGGGACGATAAAAATTTTCTAGTATATACCTACTGTTCTGTTTCTCACCAGCGCTACTATGCAGTATTCGTACGGAGAGAATGGTTAGACGGGCTAGACGTCTGGTAGCATGGGCGTCGGCGGGGATGGTAATCTGACTCCCCTCCCTTCGCTGATATATTTTTAATTAAGTTTGAAGAAAAAAGAACTGTAGCATATATTAATAATATTAAAATTTAAAACACAGAAAAATAGTAAAACTTGTCTTAAACGGCTTAAAAGTTTGTAAGCGAATTTTGTGGCTGCCCCTCTTTGTAAAACTGGTTCTCCCCTCAAAAAAAAAAAAAAAGATATTGGCACCCGTGACTGGAAGGGAATTTAGAGAAGCAAGCTCGAGAGGAATACGAACAGGCCGATCCAGGTCAGGTATCTTCTCGCCGGATTTTTAAAATAAGCATCGGAGTTGAAAAGGGAAGGAAACGTGACAATACTGATACAAGGAATTACAATTATTTTTACATTTGTCGACATGTGTGTTACGGTAGAGAAAGTCACAGCTGTGGAGAAATCCATAAATAAAATCTTAAACGACGGTCGTACCAGAACGGGAAGGCCCTAATGATATCAAGTTGGTGTCTAGGGGGCCAGTCGGTCGAAATCGGTGCCTCCGTTTAATCTTATCAGTCTCTGTCGTCGTAAAAAAAACACACAACTTGACCACAACCTTCACATTCACACGAGGAGACAATAGGATGTTCTGACCTACCGGGGGGGGGGGCTGAAAAAAATAAAAACGTTTCGTTTTCCCCAGACTCGGGAGCCGGTATAGTGGCTGTCTGCGGGCTGGACGGCCGGTAGGAGTAAGATTTCTGTACTCTCCAAGTCGTCCAGATAGGTTCTGAGGCCATCCTAGTCTTCTAGCCAATGGGCATCGGTGGCTTTTCCTCGGGGGTAAAGCGGCTGGAGCGTGAAGCTGGCCGCTCACCACCAACTAGTGCCCAGGTCGGTCAAGAATACGTGGATCTATACATTCACTCCTCATACGCCTTCATGGCGTGGTACTTAATTAAGCACAGGGACAACTTTGCCTTTTACCTTTCTGCAGGTTCAGTTGGACTGCGATCCCCCCCCGGAGACGCTAAAAAGTGTTACCAGCAACATTCTTGTCATCTGTAATAAAATACCGGTGAAAGAAAATGTGGTTTGTAAAGAGTATTTTGCTAAACAAACAGAAGTTTAAATGTATAGGGCCCGAGTTTATCTGTTTTGTACCATGTAATAATGAAGAAAGGAAGAAATTAAAAGATAGATTTCTTTTTAGGTTGAACTATTTCTTGCAACCATGTGCTTCGTTCGTCAGGTCTAGAGAACCGAAATTAATGGCCGTGGGGATTCGTTGCGCTGATCACGCGACACTCTCTATCCGCTAAAGTTGGCACATACTTCGCCGACAAGCGGCGGTCGCTCGGTCGGTATAGTTCGCTTGCGAGCTAAAGCCACGGAATTTGTTTTGTTTGTTTATGTGCGTCATTGGAGTAACTAAAAATCCGAATAAACATTGACTATATAGGGTTTGAGGTTCTAACAGCGGCGGTTATGAATAGTTTTATCTTCTGGGATATAACGCCCTGTAATCCGTTGAAAGTCAAACAACGTTTCGGAGGAACATGTCGCCTCCATGCTCAGGGTCGAATGATCTCTGTTTACCACCTGCTTTCACGCTGGTTTCTTGCTCGGCTTATTCTGAGGTCCTGAAGATGGATGCGACATGTTCCTCCGAAACGTCGATTGACGTTAAATGTACTACACAGCATTAAATCACAGAAGGTAGAATTTTTCAATCATTCAGTAATTATCGTGACTAGAAGCATATTTGCCTACCACTAATAATGTAAAAAGTAAAGTTATCCCTTCCTACCTTCCCTTAATTAATTAAGGACTAAACCATGAAGACATATGGTGGAATGAAGATACAGCTCCATTATTCTAAACCTCGACTCCAGCTGGAGGTGACTGGTCACCTTCACGCTTCTGCCGCTTTATCCCCGAGGAAACAGCCCCTGGTGCCTATTGTTCAGGAGGCTGAGTGGGCCCCACGGCCAGTGTGGACATTATGAAGAACACAAAACCTTGGTACTAATATTAAGATTAAATTTATCCTAGCTGATAACCCACAGGGTCTGTTGGGCGTAGTATCTTTAACCATTCGAACAGTGGGATTGAGGACTTGAATGCCACTTGAGACATGGATGCGTGTCCGCGTTCTTTTTTTTTTTCCTCTGTTTGTGTTGTTCTGTGTAGATAGAGACCTTGTGATGGGCCGATCCCCCGTCCAGGGACTCGAAAGAAATCCATGTTTTCAGAAGATAATTTTGAATTATAACATAGCACAGGCCTCGTCCGTACGTAAAGTGACTGCAGTCACACAGTCTGTATTCCACAAGGTACTGTCAGTTCCACTACATGTTTCGGTCACTGATTACCTATGAGGGGGAAAATAATTCGCACAAATTAACATACAAACCACTGAAATCGCGAAGGACAACCGTTTCGTCGCAAATAGTAGAAGTCTAAATCAAAGACGTACGTCTTTTTTCGTGGAGAATTGCAGGTTAAAACTGTATTGTATTACGATAATCTCTAGTGTGTATATTCAGATAGCCAGAATTTCACAGTTTTCATATAGGAATTATGTTTTATAGTGAATTTTTTACTGTTTCATTTTCTTACGCACAGATTTTCACGGATCGCCAATTATATGTAACTCTGAGAAAGATGTTTAGGATCAAGTACAGGCCTATATACTAAAGAAATCTAATGTAATTAATAGTATAATTTTTGCCGCCATTATTATATTAAAAACAAATGAAGGCTCTGTAAATTTAAATGGCGCTTGTTTGTAATGCCGCGTTATTTTAACGCACGTAGTAGGACGCGAAGTGAAAGTAAAATGCGATCGTTTTCTACGTTAAGATGAAAGTGGAACTAGGGTACTAAGAGATTTGTCAGAATAAAAATTTATGAAAAGAAGAGAAACACTTTTACGTGCAGGAACGTGAAGGCATCTATACCGCTACGCCTCCATCTTAAGCGTGTATGGTAGTCACATGCAGCTGCATGCCTCACCGATATTACAATCACGTTTGCTTTTTGTTAACGTTCTGTCATGTACCTTATGTGATTTTCTACTCCCCACTCCACCCTCATCCAAGGACCTAAATGTGGGTTACTGCCCTACATTTTCATTTGCGTACAATTTTGTTAGGTAGCAAGTGACTTTTTGAGTGTTGGGCGTGCAATGTTCTCTTATAATCTTCAGACTTCAGTCGCACTTCAAGTGATATCGCTATAACGTCTTTCACTTTTGACAACCAGTTAGGAGTTCTGTGGAAGAAAAGTGTGAACATTTGTTCTAAACGTGAAGCGTGTATTTGATATTTATTCCACGTGTGTCGGAAGTCTAACTTTTTGCAACAATACCAAGACAAGACCATCGGTGAATTGGTTATTTTGTTGCGTGTGTGTGTATTCTTCAATAAAAATGTCGATAAACGAGTGGTGTTGCTTATCCTGTTGTGATCTGTGCTGATTGTCGGGAAGTGATGGCTGTTATCTTGTGCGATACAGATGTTGCTAGCTGGAATCATTATCTGGTGTGCGCACTTGTTCTGGCGGTTTTCTGCTTTCCTCTGGGATCTCCACATGGCAACCGAGGTAATGTGTGTATCAGCTTCATTGATTTAGACCACCTACTAGTCCCCTATTCGGAAACATTCATAATTAATGACGTCATATATTGAAAAATGAACTATAACATATAAATCGAAATTATTGAACTTGCCAGAAGTCTAGAAGTAAGTACAGACAACACTAAATACGTCACTAAGAGTCCGGTCTTCTGGATTGCAACACTGTGTAGTTCGGGGAGATCCCGATCTTTCAGAGAAACATATATTCTACATCTTCAGGGATGGAAAATAGGCAAAGAAATCTGAGCTTGCCGCCAACTTCTGTTGGTTTCTTGCTTGGCTGACTCTTCGACCGTGAAGATGGAGGCGATATGTTTGTGTGAAACGTCGGGCTGTCTCCGAATCATACCACGTTACAACCCGCTTGACAGTTAATGTTCATAATCACCGTTGTCACAACCTCAAATCCAAAATGAATGTATCCTGAGGTCTCGTCACGAGAACGTGTGGCAGAATCGTAACATGTCATGGATTCTGTGGAATAGCTACAAGGCTCAGATATTAGTGAACGACGAACTGTATCAAAATTTTATTCGTGAAGAAATTAAGAACATATTAAATTTGGGAAATCCCTGCTTCCATAGAACATTTTGTCTTCTCATCTGGTATCTAAAGGCGTAGAGATTAAAATATACAAAAGTACCTAATATAGTTTTACCCGTTGTTTTGCCTGGGCATGAAAATTGGTCTGTCGCATTAAGGAAAGAATGCAAGATAGTGTTTTTGTGGTAGGGGCTCTGAGCAGATTGGAAAGAATTGTGTAATGAAAAGCGCCATACTAGTTGATCCTCCCGCATGTTAACA